CCAATGCGACGACAATCGGAACTTGGACATCAAAGCCGTCCACAACACGAGGACGAGATGGCAGAGCAGCCAAGGAAGAGGTTGTCGAGGACGATGCATGCACAGGACGAGATGGCAGAGCAACCATGGGAGAGGTTGGCGAGGACAATACATGCACAGGACGAGAGGCAGTGACGTCGGCAGGGGCGCGTCGATGACGATTTTCCACGGCAGAGGCGGTGGTACGGGAGGACTCGGCAGAGGCGCCATCGATGGGGACCATGGGATGATCGTCGTGGCCATGATCACGAGCAGCATGGAAGGTGACCTCGCCCTCGGTGAGAGGACGAGATAGCAGAGTTGCCATGGGGCGATGTCGGGACGCCATGACAGAGGCGGCGACGGTAGAGTTGGTAGTGGTTGCACGGGTAGAAACCATTGGCTAACAAGAACAGTGGTACTTTGGTCGAGGTGGCAAATAAGGAACTGTGTCCTTGTGGCGCAATGGATAGCGCATCTGACTTCTAATCAGGAGGTTGTGGGTTCGAGTCCCATCAGGGACGCCTTTTTTCCTGCCATACGGTACGTGAACCCACAACGTCTTAGGTACTGTTACATATCGCAACATTACAGTGTCGTATATCGTGGCTGACCAGTGATGTGCAGATTTTTTTTCCTTTTGTGAATTCCTTCACAGCTATTTATGCTATAGCGATTTGGTGGACGCAAGCTGAAAGAGCTCGTCAAGATCTGACACATACACCAAAACATAATGGATTTAGAGAGTTCTCGATGACGTAAATAATTTCGCAAGTTGTAAAATTTACACGTCCAGTGATGTGCCGAATTTTATACTTGAAGTAAGAATGGATTAAGGTTGTGTAAAACACAGACGAGCAGACTGGAATTTATAAAATGATAAAGGAATACTATATTTTAACCGGAATGAGATATAGCGGACCTGTACTGCTTGTTCAATTGTACTGCTTATTCGGACACTCAACTGTACCACGTGGCAATCTTCAGCAGGTGGGTCAACTACCCACGTGTTTCCGAAGTGTCCGCTGCGGAATGTCGAATGTACTAGCAGCAGTAGGTACAAGAGGGATTTTGTTACGTGATATTTCCTGTAAAGTTTCACAATGGAGCCTCTTGATCAGATTATACTGGGAATTGCTTCATGAATTTCTTACTGGGAATAACTTTTCACGCACAGTAGCCAATCAAAACACTTGAATATGCTAAACATTAACATCATCGCTTCATGGATGAATGACATGGTCGGTACCAAACCTAGATAAGCGGTACATAGGACGTACTAGTTGATGAGCGAGGATAACGTATGCGAGCAGGGGGTAATGCCGAACGTTAACTAGCCCTTATCCACCGTCAAAAATATCGGGGCCCATATGATGTTTTAGTTACGGATTTCCGTAAAATACGGTCTAATTCATTAGTTTAAAACCAGTTTTGGACTGGGTAATTTGAGCCGATATGTTGCGGATTTCGAAAAAGTGGGGCTGATATCACGTTTTTATCCCGAGAAACCGTTGAGATATTAAAGCCAAAACGGTTTTTCTTTAAAGCGGTCTGTTTACATGTGCAACTCTATAATACGCAACAGGTAGAAAAACGTGCATGCAAAAAACCTCATATTTAACGTCCTGTTTCAGAAATCCGAAACACGTGTTTTAAGCGTTACTTAGATATGCATAGCGCTACTCAGTAGATCGCACACATACATCTCTAGCTAGTTGGTAGGCGAAAAAGCGCATTCGCGGAGGCAGTCAATCTTTCATTATGCCATATTGGCCTACCATTGTCGAAACGTAGGTGGCTGGTGTGAAGGATGTGCTTATCCGAGCCTCTAGATACTCAGTAGATCGTACACATACATGCATATCTCACTATCCCGCCAAACAGCGCCTTCGCGGGCGGTCTCTGTCTACCTCTAGGTTTCGGGGTTTCGGAGAAGATGGGCCCTTTTACTAATAAGAAACGTTTAGGTATATACTATAGCTAGTAAAATCGCAATGATATAACATGTCTTGTAAATGTAAAAGGAAGTTAAAAATTGTCTGGGAACTTTTTCAAAAACACGAAAAACAAAAAAACAATACTTTTAGGTTCCTGGATACTTTATTTCAAACGATATATATATAAAAATATACAATTTAGGTGCTTACCCATCGCTCAATTTTGAATTTTCATGTCGAGTATTTAGGTTGTTTGATACATGAATCGATGGGCGAACACGTGCTATGCCCGGGATTAATGGTAGACACAACAGCTGGAGCTCCAGCAGTCTTTTTACGGGAGGAGTTCAGCCACCTTCGTCGAACGGTTGCTGAAGCTCCAATTGCCGTGTGCGGCGCCTGATAACGTCATGCGGCAACTCCTACAGCTTAATCACAAATCGTGTGCTTTCTGGCTCCAACTACGAGCTGCTAGACTTCGTTAAATGCGGCGCCCGTTGCACAGCGAAGATATTTAATCCATTGCAAAACGTTAGTACTAGCTACATTTCAAATCGTTTGGCCTTCGTCTGCCGAGACGATTGGCGACTGGGCGTGGGCACTTCGTCGTTGTGCTTGCACTTGGATTTCGAAGGCGTCGCAGGCCCAATGGTGCCCGAGGAACTCGCGTTGTCCTCCGTCGCCACATCGTGCGCCTGGGCAGCATCAGTTGTCTTGGTGCGACGAGCCGTTGATTACAACATGTATCGGATAACAATAATGTATGTCATACTCACACGCACATAATTCAAGCTCATTTCGGGGTTTGAGCGTCGTTTTTGAGCTCTTCCCCGAGGTCCTTGATCTTCATTCTCGCTTCATGTACTATATTTCAGATATGAGAATATTGCATTTGGAACTCACAGTCATTCGTCTTGTCCAAGGCCTTGGCTAGCTTTAGGTCCTCAATGAGTGTCCTGATCTTCTGTGCTTCCTACAGCATATATCACATAATTTATCAATATAATCGGAATTAGTCTCCTCGTAATTCATTTTCACTCAGTCGAAGGCAGCTTTAATGTTGTCAAAGCTAGCTTGAAAATCTTCGTCCATGCTCTACAACAAGTCTCAAATATGCTAATAGGATATTCCAAACTCACTCGTTCTGCGCTCTCAGCATGTTCGATCTGCTCCTAAATCGCTGGATCTTCGCCAGCGCATATTATTGAATTTGTCAGATAGCATGTATTTAGGACTCATCTCCAGATCCATGTCGAGCTTCTTGACCATATCCTATAGCATGTGTTAAACAGCATAATATTGTTTTAGTACTTACCCCCAGTGATTTCGCCTTCTCATTGGCCTGTCCGAGCTCTTCATCCAGACGATTGATCGTCGCTTGTGTTTCATACAGCATGTGTCAAATACGAATGAAATGGCTCTGGGGCACATCTCCATATCGTTTCTCACCTCCTCTTCGTTCTTCGCGATATTGGATATGGGCGACATCACTAACATACGCACTGAGCCTTCCGCGTCCGCCACCCGTAACTTGAGCCTCTCAGTCTCTGCAGGGGTTTCGGGGATTCCCCGAAACCCGGAAAAGGTTGCAACAGATTGCGAAGAGTTGAGAAAACATGACAATCTGGAAGTATTCCGGGAGGTTTCACACGTTTGACCACCCCGAAAACCTTTTGAACGGATTTTAGGGCCCGTCTGGCAAACCATGGATAGAAAATGGTGTTTATAACAGGGAAGGTTGATTGCATGCTTGGATGTGAGATCTGCAAGCAAAGAATACCTGAGAATACTAATGTGAGTGTGGGTACAGCCCACACTCACATTAGTTCTACTCCGCACTATCCTCTCCTGCATCCTTCGATACCTCTTCCACCCGACGAACTGTAGTTGTCGAAGCTCTTATCATAACTCCTCATAGGACTATCATACCTTCTACAACAATTGCAACATCAGTTCGTCGATGTTACGTGTGTGTTGTTGCGTCTAGCCAATCGAGCTATGCAGGAAATGTGAAAATTATTGTTGGAGGCTCGGCGGGACCCATGAGAGCATAAGGATAGTATAACTGACGGATACGGCATGCGTTGCGCTAACTGTTAAAGTTGCATCACGAATGGCACGTTTGGACGATGAGGAAGTCTATCATAAAGCACCAAGACATGTTTGGAGAAAGGATGCAACAGATGGCGAAAGGTTGCAACAGATTGCGAAAGGGTGAAAATAATCTTGAAGTTTGTATTGAACTCCCAGATTACATGATGCGTCACAAAAATATAATGACAACTTGATTAAAATTACTCACCTACTACGAGTTCTTGGGAATTCGAGGTGCTCAGGAAGGCTCGGGTTCTGGTGAGTCACAATTAACATTGAACAATAATAGTTCCTTTATGGACGCATCTTTCTTCATGTGGGGAAGCTTATAGTTATTTTTCCCATGTTTTCAAGCGTCTTTTCCATCACCTTTTGCAAAGTAATGAACGTTTTAGTCAATGTGTCAAAAGGCAGGTCATGAAATGAACTTCTCTACAGCATCAACAAGCTCCTAGAGGTTCGAGTAACCTTTTAACTTTGTAGGCTTTGGATCGAGTTATAATATCCTAAATCAAGGAGATTTAAGTCAGGGCTGTTTGCAGGCTGGTTGGCAGCTTCAATACCCTCAACACCATACTGTAGCAGAAGCTGCGAAGTCACATAGTTCTGTGGACTTGCATTGTCTTTCTGCAAGTATATTATTTTACTCTGATCCCCAAAGGAAATTTAGATTTTATCGCTGACACAATTTTCGTTAATATCATGTCGCGATAAACATCAGCAGTAACTGTCTGAGGCACAGGTACAGGAGTGCCTCTCGGACGAATTTTGCTACTCCGTTTCGCCGGCACTCTTTCAATAAAAGGCCATAAGCCCAACTTCCCATCAAACATAGATTTTTTGTGAAAATCATATCTTGGCCACGTCACTGCATCCAAAACCAAAACCTTCGTGACAAATCGTTTGGACTTCAATTTGCTTGTGGGGAGGACTTAACCTTCATAACGTAAACAATCAATTTAAGACGCATCAGAGGAAGGCGGCTGGGAAGAACTTTCAAAGCTCCACGCTCGTTCAACATTTTTTACCTCTGAAACTTGGAGTTTGTTGCTGGATTAATGGGGAATAACCTCATACCAATTATATTGGGTATCGGTTCATTTCCAATGACTAAATCAACAAAAACCAAGCAAGTTTAATCCAAATTTGACAATCAATTTAAGACGCACATTTTTATCTTGAATATCGTATAGCTATTTGCATATAAATGTTGT